GATTGTAAGATTGAAGAACAGGCATTTAAAGCTGATCATGACAGCAAAAAAAAAATCCCTTACAACAATCTGTGTTAAGTATGAAGATTTATCGCTTTCCATCACTAGCTGTCGTGACTTACATTGATGTCAATCGAGTTCAGTAGGACGAAAGAGAGTTACTCGTGTTTCAGACATTGGAGACAGTATATAGGTTTTAATCATTATGTTAAGGTACGTTAAAATCAAGGAAACTTGGCTAAATGCATCAAATATAAGGGTCTGTCAGCGCTTTAGGTCTGTCTTGGAAGAAGGAAGACGAATAAATGAGGGGGGGGGGGAGGTGGAGAGGAGTAACGTCCGCTCGACGCAAACTCTGTTTGTTATTTCATTACTAACAGATTTTACAAGTTATTTCAATAATTCATTTGCGCTTAGGGGAACCAGAAGAAACCCCATGAAGTTGGACCACACTCTTTTAATTTTATTTTCCTGGTCATTACAAATATTAAAGATTTACGACTTCAAACGCACGATACATTTAAATCTGCATCCATTTACTCTGCCCGATACAGGGGGTTGGGTTGTCTAGTGGTTTAACGCCTGCGCGTGAAACCATCAGGTCTGTCATTGTGTCAAGTGGCGTGCTTTCGATTCCTCGCTTGTATGTTACATGGAGCAGGGTCACCTGTCCAACCTCGTGGGTTTTCTCCGGGTCCTCCGGTTTCATCCCACTGCTAAACACCCCTACGCGCAAGCGAATTATTGAAATCAAAATGAACCATATGTTAGTCCCGAAATGACCTAGTTTGTGTCAGTTGACGTTACTCCCCCCCCCCTCTCTCTCTCTCTCTCTCGCGCCCTCTCTCTCCAATTCTACAAAAATACAAGTTTGAAGGCACTACTCTATTGCAGTTTGTTTTGTTTTTTGATATGTCTTTCCATATAGAAATTCCAAATCGAGAAAGAAGCACCTGCTCAGCTAGTGTGTATTAACTGGGTCGGATTAGAGTAGGCGTCATCGATGTCGGCCATGCTATAATAAAATTCCATCAATAATCTATTTGCAATCTATTTTTGAGCGAATTATTAAATATTTCTTCAAAGACAATATTGACGATGGTCCAAGTAATAAAATACCCAGGAGGAGCCTCGGTTATTACTTTAGGATAACCTACACGAGTTCTTTCATTTCCATCCTTCCATCAGTTTGTTAGTTCAAGCTGATAAGTCGCCATCATCAAGAGGAAGACTATTAGCAATTCAATTCCCTCCATATTCACCGATTTGCCTTTTCATGATTATTATCGCTTGTGGCATCGTTTGTTAAATTTGAAATAATATTGCCACTTTCGCTTTTATCTCTAAGGTCGCTTATGCCCCTGAGCAAATAAAGAAGAATTAATAATATGGCTAGCACGTGCTAGGCATGATATCAGTGAGTAATTAATAAGATATATGAGGATTATGTTTTGACGCGGATGAACTCTTGGTAAGATGTCTTGGCCTCATTACGCGACCTCTATAGTCGTGAGCGGAAGTTTTGTGTCATGGTGGTTTTGTTTCTGACACGGGTTAGGGTAGTTTATTAGCCAAACTTCATGGGCGATTAACTATTGTCAATAGAAGGCTGAGGGGCACGGTGTTCGGTTCTAATATCACCATGATTATAGCATGCCATCAACCCAATGCCGTATATAACGATAATGGACGCTGGATGCAATGATACAGACGAAGATTGTACGTCTGAGTTGAAAGAACCAGAACCTAATGTTTAAAATCAATTTACATGCATGCGACAAGTAGCACATCACGAATTCTAAAGGGTTTGTGGTGTTTCGAACATACTTAATATGTCTGAAACGGTTTTCTTCAAAGGCTTTTTTCGTCGACAATAACAGTAGCATTACTATCATCAATACTACGTCATCTTTAACTTGATTAGACAATCATCTACTAATAATCTAAAAATAAAACGGTAGGAAGTATTGCGGACCAACGTCTTTACGATGCAAAATTATGTGCATGTAACTATTTAGATCTACAGATTACAAAGTTAGGTAAAAGTAGAGTCATCTCTCATTTTAAAAATCTACACGTTGTTTCTGCCTTCATATTATATGGCATCTCTTTTATTTAGCTCATTTACCGAATTCGGACGAAATAGGAGTTCATTTTTCAAAATGGCGCCGAAACAATATGCTGATATGCACAGTAGAACACGACACATGCACTATACTAGGATAAAAACACTTATAAATGAAACGAAATGAAATGAAATGAAATGGGGTTTAACGGTCCTACTGTTCTGGGCTAATAAAGACGGGCATACGCCATACCGTGTGCTATAAGGGGAATTTTGCCCAGGTAGCGGCACTATGGCCTACTCTTATAGGGATCTTTTACGCGCATGCCAATGTATACACGGAACCTCGGTTTTTCGTCCCATCCGAACGATTAGAGAGCTGTCCTTGTCAGGCCATCCATCCTGCACCACTGACAATAAAACAATTATAAGGTCTAGAAAAATATGCAATAATGTCGAACCACTACATTTTTTTTAGCTCAATACAAAGCTGGGACGTGGTCGGATTTAAAATTAATGAAGTTGGGTTAGTATCAGTTTTCTATGATTTTTAATTCTATAATCCTTGTACATTAGGCAAAGTGCTCGAAGATGTATATACACATTTGTTCTCCTTTACTGCATTTATGTTAAAATTAGCAATACGGATGTGTCGCACATATCTCTAGATAAATATCAAGCTTAAGGGCATATATCTAAAAGTCTTATTATTGATCAAGCTTTTAGATATGTAATAACATTTATTCATCTGTATGTACATAAGTATGCAGGAAAGCCCTTGAGGCACAGTAACATTACCACTTACAATATCGCGACTGTTAAATGGCAATATTTAATGTGGATTAAGAAACTCACATGGTTATGAAGTTGGGTGAATTAATTAATTATAGGTGGTTGAATATTTCTTCGGTTAATCTAATAAATGAGCTTGTGTTTATCATGAAATGGGAAGTGTGAAACATGTAAAAGCGTGTATAATAATATGTTATTATATGAAATGAAATGGGGTTTAACGTTCTACTGTCCTGCGATATGTTATTAAATACAGAAATAAAATGAACTGGAGTTTAACGTTCTACTGTTCTGCTCTGATTGGGCTAATGAAGATTTCCATACGCTATGCGGGGAATTTTGCCCGGACAGAGGCGCTACGGTCCACTCTTATTTCGAATTCCATCTGCCAAGGATCATTTACGTGCATGCCAATATGTACACGGAATTTCGGTTTTTTGTCCCATCCGAACGACTAGACAGCCATCCTTGTCAGGCCCTCCGTCCTGCACCACTGGCAAGGGGAAACCACGCCGCCGAAAAATTCCGATAATTTTTCTCGGCCAACACAAAGAGCGAACCCACGACCTCCAGGCTAGAGAACCAGCGTTCTTACTCACTTAACCACCATGTAATTCTCAAGGCAAAGAACTAAGATAATTTGTAAATTAGCAGAGATTCGGGCCCATGTAAAACATTTGCTGTGACGGCTCTTATTCCAAACCCTGGAGTTTTACGGGTCCACAGTTTAGACGGTTACAAAGGACAGGAAGAGAGAGAGAAAGAGAGAAATGGGGTTTAACGTCCACTCGACAAAAACTAGGTCATTTCGGGTTTAATTTTATTTCAATAATTTGCTTGCGCGTAGGGGTCTTTAGCAGTGGGAGGAAACCGGGGGACCCGGAGAAAACCCATGAGGTTGGACAGGCGACCCTCCTCCTTTTCACGTACAACCGGGAATTCGAAACCACGCCAGTTGACTCAATGACAGGCCTTATGATACAGCGCGCGCGTGCTAACCATTCGGCCATCCAACACCCAAGGACAGGAAGAATTTTCACACCAACTATTCGACTATTTTTTTATATATATACTATATCAAGTCACCTTCCTTGGTTATTATACTATTGTTTACAAGTAAACAAATCGTTCCCAGTGTATTTCCTTTACACGCATTTCCTTTCATGAAAGATGATCTGTGGACATGAAGCTTTCTTATTTTTGAAATACGATACCATCGAGGAAAATTTATCACTTATAGTTGACAAAATGTGCGGGGACAAATCCCATTGTTATGAAATGTATTGTTTATGACTGTATAGAGGGGGCGTGGGAAATCTATAAGGGAAATTATAAACTCTTGAAAATGTTGGTTTATATTTTAAAGATTAATAAAAACTGCGTGTTCATGTATGGATGGTTTATGATATTAATATTTGTGGGGTCTGCTGTATAATAATGATATTCTACATGTATGTAAACACGATATGCTATTGTAGAAATAATAACCCGGAAAAGATTAACCACATTTCTCACGTTCTAAAAACTTTGTTTATTGATATATATTTAGAACCAAAAATAGAATGAAATTGGTCCCTTTTTTCAACAGTAAAAGAAAAGAATATTTGCTTCCAATCCTAAACTCTGTTTGAAAAGATGAAAATCAATTTGCTTTTGGACCGATACTCTATAGTAAGGTTTATTGAAACTCTATTTAACATTGTGGGAGATTAGATAAAGAGCTGGTAGTTATGACTATAATAATTAAAAACTAGATAATATAAAGGGGATTTACTGAAAATTTCAGTCAAATTGATCCACTCTGAACCGAGAATTTAGCGATTGAATTTTCGGCCTAGCCTCGATCATCATTACTAAAGTCGGTACAATAAAAAACACAGTCTCGATTATCCATTTCATGATTTAATCATTAATGAAAGCTGAGCTGCAAAAAGGATCCTAAAGCAGTAAATAAGGCAGGCTAGCGATGACATCAAGAATTGATTATGGTCTGGATAAGTTAATTAATTCTAATTAATAATTTTGATAACTTTTCGGACCTAAAGAAAGACCTGCAATAGGCCGATTTAGCTCTTGCATAATGTATGTTTAAACTGAAAGGTTTGGCGTACACGTGTTGATATGCCTATATATTTATTTTCAGATTTGAGGTTATAGGATAAATGTAAAACAAATATAACTGGTGATTTTGAGCAGTAAATGGTGAGTTCATTTTTCTTGTTTCACGATATCAAAAAAAACCAACCTACAAGTCACAGTTCAATCTCAGCACGTACATGGTAAATCCACATTATTCCCGGAGTTGAATCATCTGGACGGATTTATTAAGGCAGAGAGACTTCTGCGATAAAGAAATATAATGTAAATCAATGGAATAATGCCATGTATTTATATCTCATATAACGTCTGTCTGTGATACGACACCTGTAACTCTGTCGATGGTCATTAAGCTAATGATTTCTATGGATTCATCTCCAATTACCGGATTAATAAAGTCTGGTTTGTACATCTCATTTAGTTATTGCATATTACAAGGAACAATTGCCCTTGTAACATTGTATATGTAGGTACAAGGCAATTATTGAAATTGTCACAAGAAATGATTTCGTTGTAACTTTTCCAGTTGTATTAGGAGAAGCCCCTCTCTAAGCTGTAAATACAGCAATGTTAATTATTGTAAATACTCAACGTCGCTCCATAGTTATCTTAGATAATCATCATGACCCAATTATTATCGTAGATATTCCTTGTCGTCTATTCGACGTCGCTCCATTGTTATCGTAGATATGCAACGTCGCTCTAACATTATCGTAGATATCCAGCATCGCTCCATTAGTATAGTAGATCATCAACATCGCTCGTTTAACGTCTCTACATAACCATCGTTGATATTCAACATCACTGCATTATTAGATATAGATATTCTACGTAGACAACGTCGCTCTATAGTTATCATGGTTAGTACGTGCGCGCTGTATCATAAGGTCTGTTATTGAGTCAACTGGCATGGTTTCGATTAGCCGGTTGTACGTGACAAGGAGTGGGATCGTCTGTCCATCCTCGTGGGTTTTCTCCGGGTCCTCTGGTTTCCTCCCACTGCTAAAGACCCCTATGTGCAAGCGAATTATTGAAATAAAATTGGACCATGTGTTAGTCCCAAAATGACATAGTTTGTGTCGAGTGGACTTTAATCCCATCTCTCTCTCTGTAATTATTTTAAAATTTTCCTAATTTCAATGATTGTGATATTCTATTAAAATCATTCTGTTTCCCTTACTGAAATGATTAGTAATAAAACATTCCAGAGTTCAGCTACAAGATACTTGAAACACAATCCAGTGTCATTTACTTAATGAATTCAAGAGTTTATCTCCAGTTACCAGCTTAGTGGAATCAAGTATATTTGATTCCTGGTTAAGGATTACAGAAGCATATTAAAGGTCACATATCATCTATACACCGTTAAAACAATGAGTCGGCTTTAACAATATCAGTTTGTTAATTTCCATTTCCATTTTGATCATTAGAATGGTATTAATTCTACTGAAATTACGTTATTAAATGTCAGAAGTTTCATCAAAGGGGTTGTCTTTCGGTTGGAATCATTGCTCAGCAGTGGTAAATTTACGCAAGAGGGAGAAATGGGGTTTTAACATCCACACGACACAAACTAGGTCATTTCGGGACTAACATATGGTTCAATTTTATTTCCATAATTCGCTTGCGCGTAGGGGTCTTTAGCAGCGGGAGGAAACCGGGGGGCCCGGATTAAACCCACGAGGTTAGACAGGCGACCCTACTCCTTGTCACGTAGTAACTGATTAGGTATTTGGTACCATCCGAACGACTATACAGCTGTCCTTGTCAGGCCCCCACCACAGGCAAAGGGATTAATTATAAATAGATGGGTAAACTTGAAGGCGCAATTTGGGCTGAACATGCTCTTTAATTTATGCGGTTTATCGGGATAGCTTACTCTTTTTTGAGCATTCTGTTCAAGATCACTTTGAGAACTTAGAATTTTGAAATATGATCCGGAATCAGACCCAAAGATATCATGTAAATATCATTGTTGATGTAATGGTATATTATTCAAGTTGGGAAATTACATCATAATAAAAAGCTTTAGCTTTCAGACAATAAAAATACAGTTTTAACGATATCTGACGTCTTATAGTTGTATTTATTCATTACATTAAATCAGACTGAATACAGAAGTCATAATACTAGCTTGGCATCGTCTTATTGAATGATTAAATATGTACATAACAGCGTGGAAAGATCCTTTGTAGACAGTTTATTGGCATGTAGAACAGAAATAGGTAGAAATAATGTAAAGACATTATCTATCAGAATATCTGAGATATTATCGTCTTATATTATCTTAATAAATGCATTTTACGTGTCTTAGAACATTAAAAGTACCACTTGTGAAATTATTCCTTTCTATTACATAAAGGCATCACTGTGAAATCTTTTGATAACATATTCACATTTGCATACCATTTGAGGAATGATTTATTGCGCATTGAACATATAAATAGGACCATTTTGATATTGACATTTATTGACCATTCTTCTTTTGGAAAAGCTTTCTGGTAGTCCAGCGTAGTGCTATGACAGCAGAGCTCTTTACTGGACGTGAACAGTGTGTCAATAGCGCTAGCATATATTCTCTGATTGACGATGATCATGTGCATATTTTTGTACGTTTAATTTTGTGCTTGATTAACTTCTATAAATATGTGCACGATGCATAGTAAACGTGCTAGACAATTCATACAATCCTCGTCTGACAGTTAAAGAGACATGTCATTTGAATTATTTTAAATATGCTATGACTTCACTATCTTGTAAGATATAGCCATATTTGGTCACAAACATATGCGTCCCTTAAGTTGGAACACATTTTCCAGTACATGATTATGTGACCATTCTTAAAGACAAAGGGCTATTAAAAATGTGATAATATCGAACATTTCCAAACCGGCACAATGATAAATTATGACATTTGATAGTCTTCATCCGTTGATTGGTTCAAGCTATATATAGTAGGGGATATTCAGAAACAATACAAAACTGTGGAAATGCACTGCTGTTTTCATTAGAGGTAACCAGTGTATGTTAATAAAAGGCCAATTGCCTACACATGAACATAAACATTTCATATGGGCGGCTTATCTGACGGCCCCATTTCACTCGCAAAGAGATACACCGTCAAAAGTGAAAATGGACGGTTTTTTTTATTTTTGTCTTAATAATGAGTAATTGCTCCACCAGCAATTCGTCGTGGCGTGCTCCTAATCAACCGTCCAATCACGATTTGAGGCAATCTGACCCACTCCTCTTGCAGTGCCACGGCCAATTCTTGCAGTGTTGTCGGTTGACGATGACGTCGACGAACACGTCTCCCGATCAAATTAAACGTAACACACTAAAGCAAAGATACTCTAAACAGTAAATCTTATGCAAGAACCAATAGGAAAGTAAACATGGATAGGATAAACCAGCAAGCGGCAGTTTTCATCAACCCTTCCTTGAAGTGTCAAATTTGACAATGAACCCCTCCCACGTGTATGGCACTATTGCGTGTCGCACATGCAGCTCAGTGGTTCTGTTGAGGCGATACGTTCTTCATCTGTGAACATACTCTCAAAGCATGCCAAGTGTCCATGACTATTTATCATATCACAACCTGCATAGGTATTTGCATTTCAATATCCCCAACTTTTTTGAAGAGTATACTACCGGACAGTATAAGATTCACATTACTTATAGGAAGTGATAAACAAAACTCTCGCTTTATGTACAACGATAACGTACATTACTTATCAGATTTGTGTGCATTTACATAACATATGAAACCTCATTAACCCAAAATAGAGCCGTTCTTATCGGCATTTTATTGCCGTGATTTTATTTCTTCTGTAATAAGAAATAAAAACGATGTACGTGTTTTTCGTCTTAATATCGATCTACACAAAAGATGTAATAGACGTAAAAACAGTAAGAATGTCAACTTAAGAAAGATCGGAATAGCAAAATACCTATTACCTTTGCTAGAATAACTCTTAACATCCGAGCTCATTAACAAGGAACGAGGTTTCATTACTTCCAACAAATTAACTGTATATTTAGGGACTTTTATCGCTGTAAATGGAAATTAGAAATCTTTGACATTTAATAGATTTTGATAAGACAAATGGCTATTAAATAGAAGATGGTAGTCCATCTATTGTAGTAATAAAAGTCCTATTACAGACAGACAATCCTTCAAGATGGCGGCAGTTAATGTTTGTTCCGGTCAAGATGAATGGTGGTCATTACTCTATAGCTTTATTGGTATAACCCTTAGTTTGTAGCATTCAAGACAATCGGTATTGACAAAATGATAGCTTAAATATTATGTATTGCAGTCAAAGATAAATTAAATGGCTATCAGGGCGCGTGGTCGTGTGCTTCAGATTTTAAAATCTGTCATTGAGTCAAGTAGCGTTGTTTCAATCCCAAGGTTATACCTGAGAAAGAGTAATGTCCCCTTGTTTAATCTCATGGGTTTTCTCCGGGTCCCCCGGTTTCCTCCCACTGATAGAGATTCCTACTCGCAAGAGAATTATTGAAATAAAATTGTATTATGTGTTAGTCCAAATGACCTGGTCTGTGTCGAGTGGACATTTTATCACTTAACTAAGAAAGATACCCACTATCATCAACCTATTGGAGTACGTAGATATTTGATTATAAAAGATGTTGTATTTTCAATCCCAGTTGTGGGCTGGTCATTTCTTATGATCTTGTTAGTTTTAACCATTTCCTGCGATCTGGACATTTGTGTTGGGGTTAGGTCAGTAGTTAGGTCAGTTAGATCGTACTATTTCCTGCGATCTGGACATTTGTGATGGGGTTAGGTCAGTATTTAGGTCAGTTAGGTCGTACTTTTAATAATCAGTGCAGTTGCACCCAAGCGTTTCGTACGCCATATTATTATTGAAAATCTCGGAAGTCAAAACACGTCACATTGTTTTCATTTCACGACGTATGTTGATCTTGGTCTTGATGTTTGACAAATCTATGATCTCAACTTTTGTCATTTTTAAAAAAGGATGAAAACCTACTTACGCACAAGACTGGCCTGCTTCTATATTCTTACAAAACCAAGACTTTCGGATTGTGACAGCTCTATTGTGAAAACAGGAAAACCA